TTTAAAAAGTAGAAGCACAGGTGTAAGGTTTCTAATAAATGCAGCCATCATTCACATCTATATTGCAAAACATACAAAAAAATAGCAGATGGAATATATAAGCAATGTGAATGTAATAATGATAATTCTTAAATAATTAATATTTAATAAAAATAAATGAGTTAACAATTTGGTAATAACAATAATAATTGTATCAAAATTCTATAATTTATTCATGATATGAAAACCTATACAATGTTTGTATCTTCTATATATATAAAAAAAGATATCTAATCTAGTAAATCGATTATTTACTTTAACATATCTTGTAATTGAAGTTTCTATTTTAACAAAGTATGACCCGAAGATTATTATTTTGTAGATTTTTATAAGTATCGCTCACAACAAGCTGATTTTACTTTTTATTTCAAAAAGAGTCTGATAAATTGAAAAAGATCTTGAATATCTGATAAAAAATAAACCAGATAAATAAAAAAAAGGTATTAACTAGTTAAACAAAAATTTTAAAATAAATTTTTAATCTTTATTTTTTGTAATAACTAGTTAGCAGAGAGAAACTTTCACAACTACGATAGATACCTATTTGCTATCTACCTTATGGTCTGCTTGCCTATTGTAGAAAAAAGAATCTCATACAACTATAGTAGATACTTGCTTGCTATTCACTTTATGGTTTGTTTGTCTATTTATCTGCTTCTAGCTATTGCCTCTAATAATACTTTATTACATAATATATTAACCCATATAAATTATAGAGATACTAAGAATTTTTTAAAGATATTAATATATTTTAGAAAAAAATTAAGATACACAAAGAATTGCACCTTCTTGAGGTTTTCACTTAACCAACTTTTCTAATCTATCTAATAAAACTTGAACTCTTTATTGACTATATATTTTATAATTATAAGAAAATTTATCTAAATCTATAATGAACAATACAACAAAAGTTTTTAGAATCACTAACAAAATACCTATTATACTATCAAGAATATCAATAATATATTAGTATAAAAAATTAAAAAATTAGTAATTTAACCAACCCTAATAATAAAGTAAACAATTACTATTCTGGTTATCTTTTACTAGTTGACCAAAAATTTATTAATCAAACTAGTCTGATTAAATTGATCAAATGGTCTAGTTAAATTGGTCAAATAGTCTAGTCTATTAATAAAATAAATTTAGTATTTAAAATAAATATATATATATATACAAAAAAAAAAAATCATAAACTCTTTCTGCTAATCCTCTGTACCAAAATAAACAATAAGGAAATTATACAAGTAGAGCAAAATTTAGCATAGTTATTAGCTAAAATACTACTAAGTAAGACTGAAGAGCTTCTAAAATAAACTATAGTTTCTTAGAAGGACAATTTCTTTAGACAAAATGAAACAAGTCAAAATAAACTAAAACCAAGTTTTGCATAACTTTATACTCTATTTTCAAAAAATTTTAGGAATTACACTAAACCCTGTAAGGTAAATCTGTTTACAATTACACGAATAAACAAGTAAACAAACAATTACGTGTTAGTAGCTTAAGTAAACAAACAACAATGAAACAGCAAACACGTATTCTAATTTAGACAGGAAGCCAAACAAATAATTACAAAACAAAACAATCAAACAGACAAGTACTCAACATGTATATTATCAAAGTTAATATGAAATTAACTTAACATCTATAGTCCAAATAAAGTAGCCTAAAGTATGAAATTAGTAGTACTCAAGGGATTAGCATTGGTTTCACAAACTAAGCAACAAGAAATTTATAGAGAGTACAGCTTTCTTATATTTAAAATAAACAAAAATATAGCAAAATATCTAGGATATAAAAACCTAAAGTTTATAGCATGTAGGTTTTCTGTGCCAGGTTATGTTGATTATTTAGTATAACTATGAACTATATCATAAAGTTACACAAAGCTAGCCAATGAAAATTGAGATCTTTACATAGTACTATACATACATTAGGGTGAATTTACAATTTTTCAATACGCAATAAGAAGTGTGCATGCTGAACTACATATAATTGACTAAATATAGCAAAACTTATTATTGATCTGTATATATTCTTCAAGATTTTACTATAACAACTAAATACTTTACCAGTACATAATGTGACATTTTTACCTCTTTCTGCCACTTCGTTTGCTATATTCTATTTTTCTGAAAGCTCATGCTTGAACTTTCAAGATACTCTGGAATTGTAGTTAATCATATAGGTAAGAAGAAATTTCTTAGATATGGTTATGATAATTGCATAATATTGAAATAAATACTTTCTAGTTTTTTAATAGCCTTTCGAATTTTTATAAGTTTGAACCTTATCAAAGTATTTTAAGGAAATTTGAAAAAAAATTTTAAATTAAAAAGTTTTCATAAGTCCATTAATAGAATTTGATAGTAAAGAAGGATTTTGAGCAATTCTTAATAGTATAATCTCAATAGTTATTTATACTTACTCAATACTTAAAAGACAAATTTATTATTGATTTTTTAAAAGTTCAAGACACTTAAAACATCAACATTTTCTAAAGAAATAATTGTAATATCATGCATATATTTAAAAATATTTACTGCAGTAATGCTATCAAATATTTTAATTAAAATTGACAGTCCAGAATAATAAAATGAATATTATATATTATATTATGAGTAATCTACTTTAACTTTAAAACTTAATTGATTTTGTAACTTTTAAGCATAAAATCTTAATCTGCTTTAAATTTAGCACTTATGCAAAATTTTATTAAACCAAATCATATAAAATATAAAATTTATATGTCAATTTAATATGTTATTTGAAACATTTTTACTCAAGCTATGTTCTTTTTTACCCATCTTTTTTACTTTGTATTTAGAAATATTTTGTAAATTATTTTTATCTGTAATCTTTGAACATCTTCATTTGACACCTAAGCCTAAAAGCTTTCTTTGTTTTACAGATTTCACTTGAACAGAGATCTTTCTTCCACTTTTAATTTGTCTCAAAGGATCGAAGTATAATTAATATTATAGAAAAAAGTAGTCAACCATAAAATTGATAGCGATTTGGCAGCTTTATATCTTTCTGAGAATTTGTTAAATGCTATGCATAATTGAGGATTCCCTTGTTTATAATCTTCCTTAATTTCATCCAAGAAATTAATGAATGAATTGTTTGCTTGATATTCTGATTCTTCGATTTTGAGTGAATTGTTATGCTGGTGCTCTAATTCTTCAAGTAAATTATTAACTTGATGTTTTGTTTCTTCAATTCCAAGAGAATTATTAACTTGGTGTTCTGGTTTTTCGACCTCTAACTCTGATTCTCTATATAAGTAATTTGATAGCCTTTGTAAACAAACAACACCTCAGTATTATAATTTAATAACCAAATCTATTTTTAGATAAATTAAGATTTGGCTATAAAATTATAATACTAAAGAGTTTTGTTGACAAAGACTCCATTGTTAAATATGAACTACTTAACTAAATAGTATAAATTAAAAGTAAATCTATACCTATTTAATATAATATTTGCTAGTATATCTTGTGATGAATTCATAGTAGATTTTGTATACAATAATATGTAAAAAGAGTTATCTGTCATATTTAAGCCTTTAAATAGTAATTAAAATATTAATAATGCTAAATTATAAAAAAATAATAATAATTATTGTTGTTTACCAGTTGTGATATAAAAATAAATTCTATGATCATTAACTATTATTGATAGTAGAAAATTCATTGATGCAATATAATATTTCATTGCCACTGCACCTTGATATTTGCAAAGCGCTCCTGATAGTTCTATATGACAACTGCAAACTCTAATTGCACTATTAACTATATAGATAAGATCTGTTTTCTCACTCGGAACCTGATACTCATTACTATTTTCTATTTTTTTAATTAAATCTGCATTGATGTTTTTCCAACCCGGGCAGAAAAATCTTTTTGCAATTTTTATATGACCCACATAATTATGAGCAATTCCAAGCAACTGGCATTCATAGAATCTTTCCATATTTTTTATAATAAATCGAAAAATCTAAATACTTAAGTCCTTGCAAAAATTATATCCTTAAGTAGCCCAAAGCTGTGCTCTATGTAATTATTGGTATGATTATCACGTAATAAGAGATTAGACCAAAATAAATGTGCCCAATACTAATGATAGTTCCACAAATGATCAAGATATCTCATAAGTAATAGATAATATTGATAATCATTTCTAAATTCTTGATAATGAATATCTATTTTCATTATTGTTTGTGTATAAAGAATTGATTTCATTTTATTTATAATTAATATACGATGCTCTTTGTTAATATTATGTTTGAAGTTAAAAAGCCAGCACTAGAATGCTTGAAAAAAGTGAAATATGCATAAAAGTTGATTCGATTGTGGCTAGCAAAGCCTCAGTGCATTCTGCTCTACAGCTGAATCGTCTGTTAAAAAAGTTTGTAGCCCAATATGACAACCACAACCAAAAAATACATTTTTTAGAAAAATTGTTTTTAACAAGTTTATTGCTTTTTTAATAGTAATTTTACATTTATTAGAAGTTATAAATAAACCTAGAGGTAAGGCACCTGCGATGCAACTAGTATAAAAAAAGGTCATTGAAGTATTTAATGATTCAAATGATGTAGAAGCATCAATGTAACAAATTTCACCTACTTGTATAACTTGTTTATGCACTTGACTTATTAATCTTGTAACAACACAAAGAATGAATAATTTTCTAGTTTGAGAATCGTATTCCTATAAAATTGCTTTACTATAACCAGAAGCATTATAGTTCACCACTTCCTCATTTAAATGTTGAAACATAGATGATCTATTTCATTTACCAAGTTGAGAATTACGATAATAAGTAAAAAGGTTTTTTACATAATTGTAATCTAGATTAATTGAATGATTAGCAAGAATTTTAATAAGATCATTGCATGATAAAGTGGAAATATGCAGCTCATCTTGGTAAGTATACAACGTGGTTGCTAAAGAATGACTATTATAAAATAATTATATATATTTTGTTAATATTTTTTCTTGAACATGCCAAAAGCTAAGAGCTTCTGCTGAATTGATAACATGGTTATGTTTGAAAATAAAATTAACTTCTAAAAGATAATTAGTTATTATATTATAGTACTCTAACTTTAAATTCATAATAGCTATACATCTTTATCGCAATGATCAAAATTATTATTTATAGTTTTATTATGCAATATTACATAATACATCACTAATCTGTCATTTTATCTTGTTATTTATGCCATCATTTTATCTTGTCATTTTTGACTATCATTTATATCGTCATTATTATTATTACTGTAGTTTCTGTAGTCGTTATAAGATGTATAATCTAATTTTCATTGGTTAGTTTTGTGTAACTTCATGATGCAGTTTATAGTTAAACCAAATGATTAACATAACCTGGTACAAAAAACCTACATGCAAGTTTATAATAGCAATATATAGCATAATAGATAGTTACAAGTAGGCTGAAACCCAAAAAGACCAAGGTAAAGAGCTTTTAATAAAAGAACAAATTTTACTAGAAAATGTAACAGAGATTACAACAAAAGCAAAACTAAATAAACAAAAAGAAATAGTACCAGAATACCAAATTAGTCAAACTGGTAATATAGAAATAGCAGTTAATACTACAGAAAACTTTAAACAGAAAAGAGAAGAGGATGCAACAAATAACTATGATGCTAGAAAAAAAGAAAAAAGCATCAGAATCAGATTAGCTAAAATAATCTTAAATGAAAGTGAGGTTGAGATCCTAACAAATGATAAAACAATAAATGCAGAGAAAAAAATATCACTCCTATATACCAAATATAGACAACTAGACTATGGCATACAAGAAGTTAAAGACTGGGTTCCACTAGTAAAAAAAAAGCAACTTCTTAACAAAGAGGAAAAAATATTAAGCTTAGAATTAAAAGAAGATATTTATAGTTCTATTTGAACACCAAAAAAACAATATAAATCAGATTAGCCTTATAACAAATAGTAAAGGAGGAGTAAATAAAGAAAGAAAAGAGCTTGACTTATATCTTACTATATAGAACCTCTCTAATCTAACAAATACAGCAAGAGTTATAAGATGTTTGAAGTATTACAGCAAAACAGAGGTCTTGGAGTGACAACAACTAGAAAAATCTAAGGCTGCATATATTAGAATTAAATGTAAGAATGAAGTGCAAAAATACAAACTTCAAAACACCTAGGCAGTACATTTTGAAGATGGAAAGGAAGTAGACTCATAGCAGATAAATTTGTGGTAAAAGAATTAATTAAAAGAAAAGAGTTTAGACTTAAACTTGAGAAAATCCCACATAGAGTATCAGAAACACTTCTCTTATAATAGCTTAGAAACTTCAATGTCAAAATAATCTGTATTTCTAAAAATAGTCATGGTAAACAAAGAAGTATAGCTTTTGTGTACTTTAAATCACTGGAGGATCTATTAAAGGCAAAAACATCAACCCCAAGATATTTTAATAACAAGTTAAAATAGAGTAAAAATAAGCAATATATTTTATCCAACAGACTTACTGAAAAAGATTACAAATCTAAAGTAAATAACAAAAATGAATATAACTAACTTTTAACACAACCAAAGATATATCACAATCAAAAGTACAAAAAAAAGTATTCAATTAAAAGTACAAGCAATAGCACTTTAGTTAGCAGAGATTCTAGTAATTCCAGATCACGTAGCTTTACTAGAAAGCCATTAATTAGAATAGAAAATATAACAGCAGAGAGCTATAAATTTCAGGTAGTAAAATACACAACTAGTTCAAACAGAGAAGCTATAGGCAAAAGAAAAGATAAACAAACAGAAGCAAGTATTGAGAAATGTATCGAGAAAATCCTAAAAGAAATACAGAAAAAATTTAAAACAATAAAGCAGTTACTCTCAAGACGCTCCTAAATTTGTGCCAGTTGATTTACAGATAAAAGAGTTGAAAGATATTTTAGAAACAGCAGAACAAAACCTAAATACTATATTAAATAAAAGAACTATCCAAGTTAAGCCTTTATAACAATTAACTATACAAGAACATCAATACAAAAATTTAAAGTTAAAGTTAGTAGTACACAATATTAATAAGCTTAAAACTAATAGCCAGAAATTAATTGTATTAACAACCTGGGCACAAAACAAAAATATAGGGGTTCTTGGAGTAACAAAAATGAATATATCTAAGAAAGAGATACACTTTTTAACTAAAAGTTGTAAAGAGTATATAGGTTTCTGGGCTAATGCAAGTGATATGAAGAAAAAAGATTTAGGAATAGATTTGCTGATTAGAAAAGATATTGGTATACATGCAGAAAAAATCATAAAACATAACAAATATTTATTAAAGGTGTACTTGTTCTTTAAAAAGATTGATCTAGTAATACTTATACTTTATCTACCCCAAATAACAAAGGAAAATCAAGTTGATCTAACAACAAGTCATACAAATATACCTAACTAGATCCAAAAATACACATGTAATCATAATAGAAGATTTTAATTTTGTTGTAAACAAAAACTTAGACAAAGTATCAAACACAACAGACTCAGTCTACAAGCATCTAGCCTTGTACAAGTGGCTTTAAAATCAAGGCTTTAAAAATATATACAGATTGTTAAACCCTAGTGTAAGAAAATTTACTTGGTTAAATAGTAAAACATATTCAAGAATAAACCAGATTTGGGTAGAATCAAACTTGAAAAGTATGCTTGATAAAGTATAAATCTATGATATGATGCTGGTAACAAGTAGTGACTACAACACTCCAGCTATAGAAATTAGTCTAACAAACAAAGCTCTAGAAGCTTTAAGCAGGTCGAGTCAAAGCAAGAATACTAGGTTTATCCAGTTTTTCTATAATAAAGCCTCTAAAGAAAACTGGACAAATTATAAAGAAGATTTAAAGAATTTCTTGAAGAAGAGAGCTAGCTTTCAAGTATTGGATAACTTTAAAGAAGAAAATATTTAGAAACTTAAAGATATAGAAGTTCTTGATAAAATATGGCAATTAATTGAGGATAGCATTTTATATACAGCCAAGCAAAATATTCCTTTTAAAAAATTAAACCTGATACAGAAAGGAATAGCAATAGTATGGAAAACAAAACTGATTCACTTTTTAAAAAAGATATACTAATAGTTAGGGTAGTGTTATTTATCATCTGATTTTTTTTTATCAGAGACATACCCCCTTCCTCCCCTTTTATTATATATTTAATTAGGTCTTCATATATAATTTTAACTTTTTTTACTTCTCTCCCTCCCTAAAAAATTATCTGATTTTTGTCACTCCTCTTAGTAGAATCTATAAAGGTCTTAAAAAACTTAGAAACATCCCAAAGCAAGGTCACGTAGAACTACAGATTGCTGACTATAACCAACTACTACAAGAAATTAGTAAATGACACAATATAGAAATTCAAATACAAAATGAAAACTCATTAGAAGAAATCTTATCAGATATTAAAAGCTGGTGGTTTATTCTAAACAAACAATAGCAGCAAGAAAAAGAAAA